CTTCATTGAAAAATTGAAAGTATTGCTCGAACGGTCATTTTTCAAAGAATCTTTGTTCATTTGCATATACAATTGCGGTTCAGGTCCGAGTTGCTAACGATTTTTGGGTTCAGGAGTTGCTTGAGGCTGTAGTTGGGGGGCTAGAGAGCTGAGTTTAAAACTTTTATCTCGCAAATGCATAGAGAATATTTCTGCAAAGTTTCAACCTTTTACGTTGCCTGGCTCGCAAAATCGTTTCCCGCCAACAAATTTCTTTGGGGGTCCCCTACGTGGGATTTAGGCGCGTATGGTGAAAGATCTTAAAATAGGACGATGAAAAACCGGGTAGGAACATATATCCAAAGTTTCAGCCTCCCAGCTTTCCTGGTTGCGGAGACGAAAGTGGGTTACAAAATGCACTCGCTTTCCGAACACACACACGGACAGACTCTCGACAATATGTGTTTTTGCTCGCTGTAGCAGCGCTAACAGCGCTGCTATAGCACTGCACAACAAAAACGCATAAAATGATAAAAAACAACGGCGCGTACCAGGGGAACTAAAGCAGTTATGCGTTTTGTGCAACTTTGCACAAGAAAACATTGCTGTTAGGTGTTCATTGCTTTACTGTTTGACATGTATAGAAATTTTCGCACTTCCCGAATTATTAATTTTGCCATCAAATCTGTCATGTATCTGTAGGTGAGATCTAAGTGTGTGCGGAAAACTAACCTTATACGTAAGCTAGAAGCATTATTTTTTAAAATATACCGTTCTTAATATAAAATTATATAATATTTTTTCTTCTTTGTTCTTTTCCCCCTTTTGTCCTATGAATCATAATGCAATTTGCATTTTTTCGTGTTTACGGTTTTCTGCATTTCCTCTTTCCACCTTTTTTTTGCACCCTTAAAAACTTAATTTTACATTCGTCCCCTTTATCCTATTTTGCTCCTATTTTAGAATGCGTTTGCATTCCCAGCCATTTTACTTTCTTATTTTTCTTTTCATTCCCTTTCTTTTAACCCCCTTAAAAACCCTCATTTCCATTTTTCCTATTCACATTTCACTTTACCTTAATTATC